ACATACACGTTCATTCAAGGAGCTATATTTCTGGTGACACTTGACCTGTACTCCTTGGAACGTAGGCGAGAAAGATACAGCATAATTCACAATTTGAAAATTACTGGGAGCACTAAATTACAGCTAAATTACTGGTGACACTTACCCTGTACTCCTTGGAACTTAGACGAGAAAGATACAACATAATTTACACTTTGAAAATTACTAGGAAAACTTAAAGACACTTGACCTGTACTCCTTGGAACGTAGGCGAGAAAAATACAACATAATTTACACTTGGAAAATTCTGGAGGGACTGGTTCCAAATGTGCACATTGAAATCACTCCCTATGAAAGCAAGAGGCTGGAGAGACGATGCAAAAATATCCCCACTGACAAGCAGAGGTGCCAAGAGTACACTTAGAGAGAGACAACTGATTAAGTATAAATGAACCAAGACTCTCCAACAGCCTTCACATTAAGTTTAAGGGGACCAAGACTCTTCAACAGCGGTCACCCCCCCCACTTCCTGTAATATCTGAAACCCTGAGATTCTAGCTATTCCACCAATCATGACCGAGGAAGCTAAATGACGTCACATCCAGCCCAAACCAATCATCTCCTGCCTCTCCTCCATGACGTCACTATCCCACCAATAACGAGCTATAAAGACGACGTCACATCCCCAATTCCCATCCTCCATGACGTCACTCCCTCCCACCAATCACGAGCGGCGTCGGAGACTACGTCATCATTCCCAGGCCCAATAAGGAGCCTAATTTCCATTTTTCCCTTTGTTTACAGTCGAAGAACCTCATTGGACCCGCTGTAGTGGCGTCAGTGGTGTTGATGGTGCTGCTGCTGCTGGTCTACTGGCGCAGGAAGAACCTGTACTCTCTCCTTAAACAGAGACAGCGAGAAAAGAAAGCTGGACCGGTGAGAGAGAGAGAGAGAGAATTAGTATATTATTTCTAATTTTTAATATTGAGTTATTGATGTATTTGAAGAAACGTACACACACACACACACACACGTGTGTGTGTGTGTGTACGTACATATATGCATACACTTGTGTGCACACATATGTACATCTGTGTATATACACCGAGATATACACCCTAAACTTTATTTTTTTAATATAAATCCTAAAGTAATATAAATACAATAATAATAATGGTTATTATTAGTAGTAAAAGATTAGTTATTATTATTATTATTATTATTATTATTATTATTATTAGCATTATTAGCAGTAGTAGTAGTAATAGCAGTAGTAGTAGTAATAGTAGTAGTAGTAGTAGTAGTTGCAGTAGTAGTAGTAGTTGCAGTAATAGTAGTAGTAGAATTAGCAACTACCCGGCAGGAGCACCATAACTCAGCAACTCCCCTTGTCTGACAGCAGTCACCAGGCACCCTGGCCAAGAGTTCCTCCCTGCTGACCTACAACTTCGCCAGTAACCCTAATTATTATGCCCAGTCTCCTGATGCCTTGCCCCTGCACACCCTGGCAGTGCAACTCATCAATGCAGAGCAGATTGCTTTTATCGGGGAGTTGGGCGAAGGATGCTTCGGCAAGGTGTACAAAGGTGAGGAGGGGAAGAGAGGGGTGTGAGGGGGAGATTGGGGAGGGGTGGGGGAGGTTGCTTTGGTGAGGTGACAAAGGGGTCACAGAGGGAGGGTGTTGGAGGAGAGGGAGAGAGAGAGAGGAATTAAGGAGAAAGAGGGTATGGAAAGATCGTTGCATAGAAAGAGAGAAAGAAGGAGAGAGAGAGAGAGAGAGAGAGAGAGAGAGAGAGAGAGAGAGAGAGAGAGAGAGAGATGAAGAGAGAGAAAGGAAGGCTGAGGGGAAATGAGTTAAATATTCTGTCTCATATACAACTCACTTGCTAAGCCACCTAATTTCCACAGAGCAATAAGCATCACCCCCCGTTTCCCCTCTTCCCTTAGGTACCTACGGACCTCGATACCCTGAGGATGCAGGAGGCGAGACCACGAACCTGACGGTAGCTGTGAAGGTACTGAAGGAGTCTGCAGGCATGGAAGCAGAGGCAGACTTCCTGAGGGAGGTGGAGATCATGTCCTCCTTCAGACACGAGAATATCCTCTCTCTTATCGGCATAGTGGCTACAGGTAAGCTCCCCGGTGTGTATATATGGTATATACAAGTGTATACGCGATTGTACTTCTGTGTAAACCTTTTGTGTATGCTTGTGTATGTCGTATAGTCGGGTACACTGAACTAGGAGATCACAGAGCCTCCATTGGGAGTTAATACAACGACTACTGTATTTTTTGCTGCTGCTGTTGTATTCCCTGACGCACCCAAGGGAATCGATGCTCCAATGCAGCTGTATTCTGTTGATTTATTGTATATTCTAAGCATACAACTGTTGTTGTTGTTATGATGCTGTTCTCTCTCTCAGAGACTGGAGGGACGCCCTGGATGGTTTTCGAATATATGGCTTATGGAGACCTGGCAGAGGTGCTAAGGTCGTGTAACAAGCAGTTCTACTCTAATGAGTCGCCTATTAAGTCGCTGAGTAAGGTGAGTAATTGTGGTAATTGTGGTTGATATGGTGTTATATACATGGATGGGTAGACACGGAGATATAAACATCGTGATTTAAATGGTAATGGAGGATGGGGGGGGGATCTGTGGATGTATATGCGTACTAGTTGCATTGTCGCGTATGGAGCAGTCGGGCCCAAACGCGATGCCATCCCACACACTGGGCCAGTACTCTCTCTCTCTCTCTCTCTCTCTCTCTCTCTCTCTCTCTCTCTCTCTCTCTCTCTCATACACTTCCTCCCTCTCACCCCTCTCTTCCCTCTCCCTTACAGGAAGACCTGCTGAACATGAGTGTTCAGATAGCATCGGGCATGGAGTACCTCTCGTCTCAGCACTTCGTACACAGAGACCTGGCCTGCAGAAACTGCCTCGTGGGTGACAACCTCACCGTCAAGATCTCTGACTTCGGCATGTCCAGAGATGTGTACACGTGTGACTATTATAAGGTAGGGACACGCACACACACACACCACACCACACACACACACACACACACACACACACACACACACACACACACACACACACACACGCAAGGGAGATTCCGTAATGCTAATGAATGGCCTCTAGGGATAACAATACTAGTAATAATAATAATAACAATAATAATAATAATAATAATAATAATAATAATAATAATTTCTCGTGTGTGTGAGATAGGTCGGAGGATCGAGGATGCTGCCAGTGAGATGGATGGCCCACGAGAGCATCATGTACGGTAAATTCACCCTTGAGAGTGACGTGTGGTCCTTCGGAGTGGTCCTCTGGGAGATCTACTCCTTCGGTAAACAACCGTACTACGGAAACTCCAACGAAAACGTAAGTACGACCAAACTACGACCCCTTCCTCATCTCTGTACATTTGTTGGAGTTACAGAGGATGTTGCAGAGGATGTGGCAGAGGATGTGGCAGAGGATGTTGAAGTTTGCGATTGATATCCACTGCATTTTACCTAGTTACGCTAATGCTAATAATGTAGTTAGTGTTAAAATCTATCCATTTCGTACCTTTTTTTAAAGGCTCTTAATATAGAAAAATGCTAACAGCGTGTGTTAGAAACCAAATTTTTAAGGCCTTTTTGTAAGCATTTGATTATTTCATTATATATATTATATATATATATATATATATATATATATATATATATATATATATATATAATATATATTATAAAATATATAATTATATATATTGTAGGTAGTAGGTTGGTAGACAGCAACCACCAGGGAAGTACTACCGTCCTGCAGATGACTGTGAAACAGAAACCTGTAACTGTTTTGCATGATGGTAGGTTTGCTGGTTTCTTTTCTGTCTCATAAACACGCTAGATAAACAGGGATATCTTGCTACTCCTACTTATACTTTGGTCACACTTCACAGACACGCACATGCATATATATATTATACATACATCTAGGTTTTTTTCCTTTTTCTAAATAGCTCTTGTTCCTCTTTATTTCTTCTATTGTCCATGGAGAAGTGGAAAAGAATCTTTCTTCCGTAAGCCACGCGTGTCGTATGAGGCGACTAAAATGCCGGGAGCAATGGGCTAGTAACCCCTTCTCCTGTAGACATTTACTAAAAAAGAGAAGAAGAAAAACTTTATAAAACTGGGATGCTTAAATGTGCGTGGATGTAGTGCGGATGACAAGAAACAGATGATTGCTGATGTTATGAATGAAAAGAAGTTGGATGTCCTGGCCCTAAGCGAAACAAAGCTGAAGGGGGTAGGAGAGTTTCAGTGGGGGAAAATAAATGGGATTAAATCTGGAGTATCTGAGAGAGTTAGAGCAAAGGAAGGGGTAGCAGTAATGTTGAATGATCAGTTATGGAAGGAGAAAAGAGAATATGAATGTGTAAATTCAAGAATTATGTGGATTAAAGTAAAGGTTGGATGCGAGAAGTGGGTCATAATAAGCGTGTATGCACCTGGAGAAGAGAGGAATGCAGAGGAGAGAGAGAGATTTTGGGAGATGTTAAGTGAATGTATAGGAGCCTTTGAACCAAGTGAGAGAGTAATTGTGGTAGGGGACCTGAATGCTAAAGTAGGAGAAACTTTTAGAGAGGGTGTGGTAGGTAAGTTTGGGGGTGCCAGGTTTGTAAATGATAATGGGAGCCCTTTGATTGAACTTTGTATAGAAAGGGGTTAGTTATAGGAAATACATATTTTAAGAAAAAAGAGGATAAATAAGTATACAAGATATGATGTAGGGCGAAATGACAGTGTTTGTTGGATTATGTTTGGTAGATAAAGACTGTTGAGTAGGACTTCAGGATGTACATGTTTATAGAGGGGCCACGGGATTTTATCAGATCACTTTCTAGTTGTAGCTCCCACTGAGAGTTAAAAGGTAGATGGGATACAAGGAGAATAGAAGCATAGAGAAGAGAGAGGTGAAGGTTTATAAACTAAAAGGGGAAAGGCGTTAGGGTTTAAGTATATAAACAGCTATTGGAGGATAGATGGGCTAATGAGAGCATAGGCAATGGGGTCAAAAGAGGTATGGGATGGGTTTTAAAAAATGTAGTGTTAGAGTGTTCAGTAGAAGTTTGTGGTTACAGGAAAGTGGTGTGCGGGGGGAAGAGGAGCGATTGGTGGAATGATGATGTAAAGGAGTAGAAAGGGGAGAAAAAGTTAGCATATGAGAAGTTTTTACAAAGAAAGAAGTGATGCAAGGAGGGAAAGAGTATATAGAAAAAAAGAGAGAGGTTAAGAGAGTGGTGAAGCAATGTAAAAAGAGAGCAAATGAGAGAGTGGGTGAGATGTTTTAACAAATTTTGTTGAAAATAAAAAAGTTTTGGAGTGGGGAATTAACAAGTTAAGAAAGCCTAGAGAACAAATGGTTTGTCAGTTAAAAATAGGAGAGGAGAGTTATTAAATGGAGAGTTAGAGGTATTGGGAAGATGGAGGGAAATTTTTGAGGAATTGTTAAATGTTGATGAAGATAGGGAAGCTGTGATTTCGTGTATAGGGACAAGGAGGATAACATCTTGTAGGAGTGAGGAAGAGCCAGTTGTGAGTGTGGGGGAAGTTCGTGAGGCAGTAGGTTAAAATGAAAGGGGGTAAGGCAGCGGGATTGATGGGATAAAGATAGAAATGTTAAAAGCAGGGGGGGGATATAGTTTTGGAGTGGTTGGTGCAATTATTTAATAAATGTATGGAAGAGGGTAAGGTTTCCTTGGGATTGGCAGAGAGCATGCATAGTTCCTTTGTATAAAGGCAAAGGGGATAAAAGAGAGTGCAAAAAATTATTGGGGGATAAGTCTGCTGAGTATACCTGGTAAAGTGTATGGTAGAGTTATTATTTAAAGAATTAAGAGTAAGACGGAGAATAGGATAGCAGATGAACAAGGAGGCTTTAGGAAAGGTATGGGGTGTGTGGACCAGGTGTTTACAGTGAAACATATAAGTGAACAGTATTTAGATAAGGTTAAAAGAGGTCTTTGTGGCATTTATGGATTTGAAAAAGGGGTATGACAGGGGGGATTTGGGGGGCAATGTGGCAGATGTTGCAAGTGTATGGTGTAGGAGGTAGGTTACTGAAAGCAGTGAAGAGTTTTTACGAGGATAGTGAGGCTCAAGTTAGAGTATGTAGGAAAGAGGGAATTATTTCCCAGTAAAAGTAGGCCTTAGACAAGGATGTGTGATGTCACGTGGTTGTTTAATTATTTATAGATGGGGTTGTAGAGAAGTAAATGCGAGGGTCTTGGCAAGAGGGGTGGAGTTTAAAAGATAAAGAATCACACATAAAGTGGGAGTTGTCACAGCTGCTCTTTGCTGATGGACACTGTGCTCTTGGGAGATTCTGAAGAGAAGTTGCAGAGACTGGTGGATGAATTTGGTAGGGTGTGCAAAAGAAGAAAATTAAAGGTGAATACAGGAAAGGTAAGGTTATGAGGATAACAAAAAGATTAGGTGATGAAGATTGAATATCAGATTGGAGGGAGAGAGTATGGAGGAGGTGAAACGTATTCAGATATTTGGGAGTGGACGTGTCAGCGGATGGGTCTATGAAAGATGAGGTGAATCATAGAATTGATGAGGGAAAAAGAGTGAGTGGTGCACTTAGGAGTCTGTGGAGACAAAGAACTTTGTCCTTGGAGGCAAAGAGGGGAATGTATGAGAGTATAGTTTTACCAACGCTCTTATATGGGTGTGAAGCATGGGTGATGAATGTTGCAGCGAGGAGAAGGCTGGAGGCAGTGGAGATGTCATGTCTGAGGGCAATGTGTGGTTGTGAATATAATGCAGAGAATTCGTAGTTTGGAAGTTAGGAGGAGGTGCGGGATTACCAAAACTGTTGTCCAGAGGGCTGAGGAAGTGTTGTTGAGGTGGTTCGGACATGTAGAGGAATGGAGCGAAACAGAAGCTTCAAGGTGTATCGTTGAGGGGAAAGGGAAGGCGGGGTAGGGGTCGGCTAGGAAAGGTTGGAGGGGGGGGGTAAAGGGGGTTTTTGTGTGCGGGGGGGTTTGGACTTCCGCAGGCAGATGAGCGTGTTTGATAGGAGTGAATGGAGCAAATGGTTTTTAATACTTGAGTGTGTTGGGTGTGAGAAAAAGTAATATTTATAAGGGATTCGGGAAAACCCCGGCGGGCCCCGGGACTTGAGCCCGGGAAGGGGGAAAGTACAGGCCTGCACTCTGAAGGAGGGGTGAAAGTTGCATTTTTAAAAAATGTGTGTAAAGCCCCCTTCTGGAAGACAGTGGGAGTAATGATGGTGAAAAGTTTTTCTTTTTCGGGCCACCCCGCCTTGGGGGAATTTGACCCGTGTGTTAATGTAAAATAAAAAAAATTAAATTAATATATATATTTATATTTTAAAAAATTATTTAATATATTATATATTTTTATATATATATTATATTATATATTTTAATTTTTTAAAGGAAATTTAAAAGGGTTCGATTCTGTTTGGGTTCAGTTTGTTTTAATGAAGGAAAACCATGTGTGGTGCACTCTCTCTCTTCTCTCTCTTCTCTCTCTTCTCTCTCTTACCACGCGCTTCTTTACCCCTGGCTTTTTAAGTCTGTTTTGCTTTTCAGCCCCCCACCTTTCTCCACAACCCCCAACAGTGCCTCCACACCCCTCCATACCTTCCTTACCCACACCAACCCCCCTCCTACCCCCACCACTACCCCCCCCTCACCCTCCATCACCCCCCATCCTCTCCCATCACCCTCTCCATCACCCCCTCCATTACTCCCCTTCTCCATCTACCTCCTCCTTCGTTCTCATTTATTTCCTAAATTTCTCTACTTCTGAGAGATAATTCCCAGGAACCGTAAGGGGAATTAGGGGAATTAGGGGGAATTAAATTCTTACCTCCTCACTCCACTTATCAGCTCGACTAAATTTAAAGAGAATTGAGGAGAGCTAACTCACTTTCTCTAATTTTGAGAGTGTAAATGTATGTAGATGTGCATGAGAGAGAGAGAGAGAGAGAGAGAGAGAGGGAAGGTGGGAGGGAGGGAGGGAGAGAGAGAGAGGGAGGGAGGAAGGGAGAGTGATGAGAGAGAGAGAGAGAGAGAGAGAGAGAGAGAGAGAGAGAGAGATATGATGGAGGTAACAGCTCCTAGCTTGTAAATAAACTTAGCAACTCTAAACCTAGCCTTACAAAACCATGTGTGAAAAAAAAGACAAGCAGAAGGCTCTCTCCTTATCCCTCAACCCTTCCTTTCCACCACTAACCTCCTAACTGTGGGCTAGCTGCTCTCTCTTAGCTGTGGAGCTTCTGTTAGCTTCTAAGCCTGTTCTAGGCGTTGATTCTTAGCTGTGGAGCTTCTGTTAGCTTCTAAGCCTGTTCTAGGCGTTGATTCT